AAAACAAAACGAAACAAAAACCACGGGTGGAAATAATGAGTGAGTCCTCCTTCTCGACGGAACCACACCGACTTTCTTTGCCATCATTCCATCTACTGCGTTAACGACGCCGGATCCGGGCAGTCCCCGTCTGCCAGTACGAGGACGGCCGCCATCATCTGCCGCACCCCGGGGTTCCCCATCCCGGAGCGGAGAACCGCGCGCCCTCCCGCCCCGACCCGCGGCATCTCCCCGCGCCCGCCGCAGCACCGCGGCTCCCCCTGTCCGCGCCGACCCAGCGCAGTGCCGCCTCCCGCCGCTCGGGGGCGCCGCAGCCGCGCGGCGCGGTAAGAACGGGCGGGGCGAGTGCTGTAAAGCGGCGGCGCTGCGGCGGATGTCGCGAGGGCTGCTCCGAAAGTAACGCCTCCCGTTTCTTCCCGTTGCCCGGCGCCGTCGGTAGGCGGCTGTCGGTGCGATGGAAGCAGAGCTGAACCTTCCCACCGATATCCCGTTACATTTTGTTGCCGTGCGACAGACGGCAGCAGAGGGGGGGCTGTCTGACACAATGGCGTGTGACATGGAAGTGCACGTGGAGCAAAGACGTGGAACTGAATTCCTCCATGCAGAGAAAAAGGCACCCACTGACATTCAGTGATGCTCATGAACGCTGATGGAGAAGAACTGTTTCTGTCCGAGACTTATATGCAGCACTGGAGAGATCTGCATACATCCTATTAATCCCTGTCCTTAATGGCAAATACAGCCATGGGGCTGCAACTGAAATAAAACCAGCCCGATCAAAAGAGTCACAGAATCACAGAATCATTCAAGCTGGAAAAGCCTTCTAGCATCACCAAGCCCAACCCATCCCACCATGCCTGCTGACCGTGTCCCTCAGTTTCACATCTGCACGGCTCCTGAACACCCCCAGGCTCGGTGACCCCCCTCCCCGTGCAGCACGTGCTGCTCACAGGGGCACCGCTGCTCCCCCCAGCCCCACTCACAGCCCGAGGTGCTGCACTTGCTGGGCCGGGCGGCACTGCGGTGGGGGGAGCACAGCAGCAGCCATCCATCTCCAGCCCCAAACAGTCATTGTCAATAACCCCACCATAAATGTCAGCCCTGACACCGTGTCAATAACTTATTGTGTGAGCATAATGCATCGCCTTGGAAAAGGCCAGTGTAAAGACTGGTTTGCTAGCCAGCATTGTGCGATGACAATTACAGGGTTTTTTCCTATCTAGGGTCAATCATTTGATGGATGGAGGCTGCCGTATTTAGGTGAGATTATTATAGTGGTGCTGAATAGCAGCCTGGGGAGCTGCTCAGTGCAGCGCTGCGCAGACAGCCCTGGGCCCCTGGGGAGGCGGTGACCTCTGGGGGAAGCAGGAACCAGCCTGGAGAAAGCAGGAGGAAAATATCTGCTGCTCCCTGCAAATTCATTTAAATGGAGGACTCAGCAAATAGCACTTAATAGGTGTTTTGTGCTCTTGATGATTTAACCAAACCTGACCCAGAACGGGAGGAGAATCAACACGGCCTGGCCTTCTGCAGCAGCCAGTGAAGGGGAAGAGCATGAGAAATGTGATGAAGTTGTTACAGAAATCACAGACCCAGCATCAGTGTCTGCACGTGGCTCAAACCCATACAGGAGTGCACTGAGCTCCTCAGAGACAGCCTGCACAGCAGCACTGCCAACACTGCTACTGAAGTGCCATGCTATTTTATTTTTAAATACATTCTGCAACATCTGTGTCTGAAAATAGAAGTTTCTGAAGGGCTCAAGCAAGCCAATTTGACTAGAGTTCTGAAAAAGGATTTTATTTAGATTTATGATAACATCTGCATGGATCATAAAAATACAGTTTTCCCTTTCTGTCTACACGTGCTCATGCTTGTACATTTGTGTACCCATAATATGTAGCCATGTGAAAAGAGAATGATGGTAAAAGCAGGTTTTAAGGGACAACAGCTCTAAAAAGCATCCTTTGTGCTTATGGTAGGATCACATTGTGAGGCACTATAAAATGAAATCTCAGTAACATAAAACAACATAAGAAAAGATTTCCCTTTTAAAATCAGACACCAGGCAGCTAGAGAACTCAAAGTTTGCCTCTGTCTTAAAGCAGTCATTGTCTGGGGCTGCTCCGAAAAGGGCCAGAGCACTCCCACTGCCACGATCCAGTTCAGCAGGCCATGGGCACATACGTTATTCAGCGTTCTAAAATCTAAAAATCAATGTTTTACACTGTGCAACACAGCTTAATCTAACAACCAAAATCCAATTTGTGAGCAATTTTAGATGAGGTTTCCCCACAAAACCTGGAGAACTGACATTACAGGATAGAACAAGAGAAGTGAGCCCTCTTCCTCTCCCTGTCACACGCAGGTGCCATTTCCCAGGACACACATCAGGCTGGCAGCACACGATGACGCTCAGTGCTGACTGCATCCTAGCCCTCCTCCCCCTTGCAGTGTAATCAATAAGAAGCTCTGCATAAAACGCTAACAGGAGTCTTTTTAAATGTTCCTACTCCCTGTAGTAGTAACTAATAGTAGTAGTAGTAATTCTGTTGCTGCTCGCCTCACTGTTGCTTCTAAATCTCAGTGTCATGAACCAAAAGGAGAAGCAACATACAGTGCCTGCAGCCTCCAACCTGCCTGGTGTACTGCGAGCCAAGGGCTGCAATCAACACAAACAGCAGCTATCTCTAAACAAACAGACAATAACAGACAGTAAATTCATCTCTATTCCCTCCTGTACCAAGCGGACAATCAGGGCTTAAATAATTAATACTCTGGGCTTACGGTGCACCTTTCGCCCCAGGATCTCCGAGCACTTTGCAGGGATAGCTTTTTATTTTGCTGGAGAAAATAGAATAGAGAAAGATTAACCGATTGACCAAGGTCATGCTGCCTGAACGTTTTCCTTCTGTTTACCGCTTAACTGCAGCGCTGCTGTGACCTTGCAAAGCTAAAGGAAGGCTGCATTTTGTGAGGATAATCTCCCTTAACGTGTACCATATGTTTGTGATTAGGCAAAAGAAAAAGCTTCAAAAGAATTGCTGGTGGTGAGAGCGTTCACCACGTTCTCTGGGATGTCAGAGCTGCAATTTTCTGCAGGGCCTGGAGAAACAGATGCAAACCTGCAAACCCCATCCCACTATTTCAAGGAAAAGTGGTTACTCAGCATCCCTGCACACTCCTGAAAAATCCAGCCTGTGCGTCCATGGCATGTAATTTCCCAATTACAAAAACCAGAGTGATCAGGTAAGACCGTGGGAGATCCGTTCCCATGGAACATTTGATCCAGGGCAATTGAGATGTCACCACAATGCCACAAACCAATTATTTTAGCAATGGATGTTGGTCCATGTGAGGGAAACCCTTTGGGATGTAGCTGTTAGAGCAAGGCTCCGGGCCAAACATATCAGTTAAAGGTGAAATGGACTGGCAGGTTCAAAAAGAAGCCTCTGGCCACAGAGATGTGGCATGCTGAGGCTGGAGGAGGGCTGGGGGCAGAGCTGGGCACAGCTGTGCCCCTTCAAAGAGCTCCCACCAGCTCATGCCTCACAGCTGGCCCCTGCAGGCCTGCAGGTAGGGCTGGCATCCCCTGAAGCAGGCAGGCCCAACTGCTTTGCAATGGATCTCCAAGGGCAGGAAGATGCTGTAGTGTTTCATTGTCATTTGTTGTTGCCCTAAAGTGATTCTGAAAAGCCGTGCCAGACTCAAATGCCAGTGAGATGGGTGAGAGCAACGGGCTGCAGAAAAGAAGCCACTTGGCTTGGCAAAGATTGAAAAAATCTTCCTTAGCTGCACAGCTCCCCCAGAAATGAGTCAGTAGGCCTGACAGAACAGAAAACACAAGTTGCCATAGAAACTCACATGCCTTCCACCAGGAGGAGAAAAAAATGTAGGCCAATATTTCTGCTTAGCTGGCTCCTGCTCCTGCTCTGCTGCTCGGCCCGCCTGGACCCCAGGGCTGCAGTACATCTCAGTTTGATTTGCCCCCAGCTGAGCAAAGCCCTGGCCCTCACTGCTGTGGAAAGCAGCTGCCTGGTGAGAGCACATGCACATGTGTAAGCACTCTAACATGCGTATGGACACAAAGACACACGGACACACAGACACGGCTCTGAGGCTGCTCAGGGTTGGTGCTGGGTTACTGCAGATCTGGAGCCCAGGGAACTGAGGTGTGCGAGTTCCTGTGCTGCAGTCACACTGTGAGCGTGCAAACAACTGACAGATGGTGACAAATGATGTTTGTGTTGGATTATTGCAGCTGCCTTTCATTTAAATAAACACCTCTCCTGCATTCTGTAGTTTTGTCATCTGCAAACCAAGGGATGCACTGCACAGCACAGCACAGCACAGCACTGCACAGCACAGCATAGCAGAGCACTGCACAGCACAGCACAGCATAGCAGAGCACTGCACAGCACTGCACTGCTTGTCTTCTATGACAAGGTCAGCCTGTCCAGCTGCACCCAGAGGAATGCACTCCAGCTCTTTCACAGTCACTGTAATAGAAGTAGCTGCTGATCCCTTAGGTATCTGTGTATATACATGTATATACATGTATCTTGTTTGGGAGTGGAAGAGTCAGTAAAACTTTTTTAAGAGTTTAAATTCCCTGTGTAGGTTTAACAAAAGTAGAACAAAATAAAAGAGAAACTCTGCAGTGTTTTCACAGGGGAAGGTAGAGTCTAATTCTGTGTCTGACTCCATATGTGGGACACTTCCCTCTGGGAAGGAACAAGTACAATAACGTAGAGTTAAAAGCCAAAAAGTCCTCTATTCACTACAAGATGGGAACTTCAGGATACATTAAAACTCAGCAGCAGTTTTTGGAGGAACGTTCTGCAGAAGTATAGAAGTGCAGAACTGTTTACTGTTTGCTCCAATACTGAAAAGTACGGAGAAATGCGATCTCTGTGATATCGTCACCCAGCTGAGCCAGGTGCCCTCATGCAGGGCACAGGACCAGGGGTCAGCAGCACTGCCAGCGCTGGGCACCACGCTGAAGTAGATCTCAATTATTTTATTGCTTCCCAGCATTTTCCAAGAAAAAAAAACAAAAACAAAAACAAGAAAAGCACTGAAAAGTTTGTTTCACTGAGATTAAGGTAAGAAATGAGAGCCCTCTCTCCATCTCAAGCTCTGTGCAATGATGAGAGTTTTCTTCTTACTGAAGTGATCAATAAAGTCCAAAGAAGCTCAGTGAGAATGTTTTTGTCACTGTAACAGCAGAAGCACAATGTAAGCCGTGTGTTCAAGCACTCGCACCGGGTTTGTGTTTACATGGAAAACAACAGAACAGAAAGAATCGCGGGGGAAATTTTCTGTTCAAGGTAAGTAACAGGCAACCAACTTTCCAGCATGCTAATTTAAATGTTACCATTTACACCGAATTTCCAGGAATTATCTCATATAGAGCGTTTCATGTGCTGAAAGGAAAAGAGATAATTGGTGAGTAATCAAAGACTTCTGCCTGGTAATTTACAGTCAGTTTGGGGCGGGCTTCCTGCAGAGTGGAAAACAGATCCCAGTGGGATGCTAAATGATACAAAGGCCCTGAGGAGGCGGACTTACATCCAGTCACATCTTCTGTAAAAACGCAGCGTGACACAAACCAACCCTCCTGGGAAGGAGCCCTGGTGTCAGGAACGTGAATCCTTTGTGGCCACCGCAGAGACCGGGAAGTTTTCCTCTCCATGCCGTCGCTGGCAGCCAGCCGTGGTGCCGCTTCAGGCACCCGTGTTTTAAAACTCCACGTGTCAGCAGCGGGGGATCGAGAAGGGTGAGAACGACGTGAATAAAACTGTGCACACAGAAGTGCTGAGGGCTGTGCGGTGCTGGGGACACGTGGGTCTGATGGACGCCGATGGAGGCAAACTGAGCAGAAACAAGGTTTTCTTAGGAACAACTTTTAACTCCGTTTTTCTGTCAGGAGAGTTCTGACTCGCGGACAGATCTTCCCACACCACATGCCTCTCCAGAAGGCCCAGGAGCTCAGAGCTGGAACTGTGCATCCTCCCGTGCAGCCACACAAAGCGCTTCGTGATGAAGGACTCAGGGAAGGCGATCTCCAAACGCCTTTATAACTTTAAGAATTATAATAAATGCTTTGCAGCAATGGAAGGCATGCTGTGCTAGTGATTTCCACTGTTTGTAATAACCCTAAATCAACTTTTTTCTCTCACCTTCTCCAGATTTGAAAGCTCAATTAATTTTGTGCTGTCGCTCTATTACTTCAGCCACATGTGGCAGAGTGAGAATTCTTGCAACACAATGGCTAATTTTTGGTATCTTCTCTGCCTAATGGCAGGTGTGCTGTCCTAAATAATTAGCTTTCAAAAAGGGATCCCCTTAACCCTTCTCTAAAACTGGTTACTGATCTCAGTTGTACCTCATTAAGCTCCTGACAGCTCAATGTACTCACATCTGTTACTGTTTGGTAGTTTGATTCTGAGAACACAAATTGCTTCAAGAATTGCCAATTCATTCAGGCTCGTGATGCAGATCAAAATCCATCTGTTTACTAATCGAAAGCCATATTTCAACCACAGTACAACAGTGGTGTCTGCAATAACTTAAGACTTTTTCTCTGCCCTAAGCGTGATGGGGAGTGCTCTTCATTTAAGACACACTTATTTGCATTATATATCTTAAATGCTATTCAGGCAACAGTATACAGGAGTTAATCAATCTGTGTGCAGTGCACTGAGTCCTCAGACATCCTTTACTTACAGGCTCACGTTGGAGGCTTGTTACTTCCCCCCCTTCAATTCCAGGTAAAACTTTGGCCTTTATTATTCCACCTTTTTGTCATTTAACTCTAGCAATGAAGTCAACCACCAAAACTGAAGGCACAGCAGAGAGAACAAACGGAAAAAGAGTAAGCAATGCTGTAGGCACGTTACTGACTTGCTGAGGCTGCTCTGTGAGAGCCAGGCAGGTTTATATATCAAGTAATGTGGAGATCCTTACATTTATTTTCCAAAATGCAAATCTGAAAGCAGGAATTACATTGCACTATGTGACAAATGAGCGTGTGGCTGTGTGTGTCAGCCTCCAGCTGCACAAGGCATTTGGTTTTAAAGGAGCGAGTGAGATTGTGAAATTCTGCCATATAATTTGCTGTGCCGTTAACTGTGATTCCTACAGCACCACCAAGGGATGGCAAATGTCCAGTCGTCAGAAGCTATTATAGGATAATCACCTCTCCAAATGAGACTCTGCAGACATTAGGGAGCATAATTCCCCATGGAATCCACTCTTCTGGGCGGGCTGCTGCCTCACAGCACCTCACTGCAACAGGAGGTAAAAGCTGGCCGAGCTTTTGGTTCTCTGAAAGCCCTACCAAAGGCACCAGGAAAGGAGCAGTTCCAGATTAAAAGGGAGCTAAGCAGACAGAAGGTCAGAAGACAAAATCTTAGCTGGTTTTTGGAGACACAAGACAAATGAAAGAAAGATCTACCTTAAGCTTTCTGCTATCTGGACCGTTACTATTTCAATTTGCTGGTGTTCTCTACTGCTAGCATTTCACAGAAAACAGGGAAGTCTACGGTTCACCCTCCTGCTGGAGCTATTTTCTCTATACACCGTGGACCTGCTAACTGTGGCACTGGATGGATCTCCTCTAAAGTCTGTACAGAGCTCTGCAGGTGCAACGCACTGCAGCACAGAAAACATCAGTAAATTGTTGACCCTATGGAAAATTCACAAAGTTTTGAAAGTAATTACAGATTTTACCCATTCCTTTCCTTGATATATGGTAAGTCTGCAAGACCCTATAGTTTATTCATACCTGAAAAGAAAAGCCTAAGGCACTTTCTAGGATGGTTAACCTATGACCACTACATTAAGGCTTCAAAACAAATGCAACTCATTTGCTCAGAGATGACAGATTAATAAATTGTTCCACCCCATTATCCCTGTGCTAGCTTGAGGGATAGCTTAGAGGAAGCCTAGCAAATGACACAGGCCAAAGGCCAGTGCTCCTTTTCCAAACACAATATTACAAGCCTTAATACAAACACAAATGATCAAGTGGATTTACACAAGGACAATAGGAACACTACTGTGGGTTCAAGCAGTACTCATCAGGGTAAAAACTGCAAAGCAAGCTGTAAAGCATGGTTATAGGTATGAGAAATGAAATTGAAATTGATGCAGCTGTGCTTGAGACTTCCCTGACCATCATCCTTGGCAATGCAGGTGCTGCCAGCTCCACCACGTGCTGGGGGACCTGCGAGCAAATCCTGCCTGCTGCTGGAGGGAGCACGGCTGGGAGGCTCCAGGGCTGCCAGCAACCAGGAGAGCACATCTCCTCCTACTGCCTTCTCTGGAATGGAGCACCAGCATAAAATAGATGAGAGAATGACAAGTAGCTGAGATACAGTCTTGCAATTCCAAAGCCATGAATCAGGATGCGGACTCTCTTAAGCTAAGTTTTGAAATAACAACACATTTTAAATAGTTATGCTTCTGCATTTTGTAACGTCCCCACAAATCTTTGAGCCTGTAGGGTCATAACTGCTAAAGCAAAGAAAATATTTAAAATAACAAAACAGTTTCCTGCAGGAATTAAGGAGAAGGTGAACATGATAAAAGCTGTGATGAAATGATGAGACCTGGAAGCTATGAAATACAACTTAAGATACAAAAAGGAGAGACTACAAATGTGCTGAGGTTTACATACTGACTTGTCTTGGCATTGCTCATAAAAAATGAAGGTAATAGGGAAAAAGTTATGGCTCAAAAGAATTATTCTTTATGGTAGCAATCCTGTGTTTTCCATGCAGGGATGTGTAAGCTTTAATGGATAACGTCCAGAACAGAGCAAAGCAGGGAAAATACTAAGTAAGCAAAAATGCCTTTTTTTTTAATTGCTTCTACACCCATGGAAATAGGTGAATATTGGCTAAACTGTGCAGTGGAGAATTTTGAAATGATTATAAAGACTGAGTGCAACAATGTGAACAGCATCACTAGTGAACAGCATCACTAGGGACACAAAGAGAACACAGTCATGCCAGTGCTATGCATGGAACTCTAAAAGGTAATTGTTTCCAGATTCACAACTAGAAAACATCTGAACTATCAGGTTAAGAATCTCTGGTGTGCCAGGCCTGAGAAGCAGCATGAAATAACCTTGAATCAGCCAGAAGTAGTGAGTGAGGAATTCCCCTTGTGAAGGGAAGCTGTATTGGATCAGGAGGGCAGAGGCACGGGATGCTCTGATGGGCATAAAGAAAATGTGAGCCTGAAAGACAGCTCCTTTACATAAATAAAATGCCAAACAGCCACTGTCAGGGAAACCAAAGCTGTTCCTCTTCAGCTTTAACACATACATCTGTGAACTAAGAGCCACGAAGCTCAGACAGCTTTCTAACACCTTGCTTCTCCTGTGAAGTCCAAACAGAGCTCAGTCCAGACACAGAGGACCCACTCACTCCTTACCTCTAAGCTCCTTTATTTGCTGATTAACACTGCGAGTGTGACTGCAGCAACCCATTATTATTAAGTTATGCTCCATTTTGCTAAGAAACATATTAAGTAGATTTAAAAAAAGAAGTTTCTGTAAACAAAGATGTTGTACAGAAACAAATGTTGTGTTCTGCTTGGCAGTAAATAAACTAGCAATTTTAGATTTTGCTATTATATCTTTCTCAAAATACTGAACATCTGAAACAGGAGAGACTGCTGTAGTAGAAGGAAAATGATAACAATCTCAGTGATGCTAGAGATGAATTCTTACTGCTACTTGCACTGAAAAATTACTCGTATCTCACTTCTCTTCCCGACGGGCTCTAATTCTTCCTCTGAAAAGGAATGTTATTTTTGCCATTCAATTACATTTTCACCATTTGATCAGACTGAGCTCTATATAAAAGCATGGACTCTCATTTCAGATTCCCTTACTCAGCTTTTCCTTCATGAAGAGTCGTGTTCCAAGGTCACGATGATTAATCCTGACCTGTGAACCGCCAGTGTGTTCAGTCTTAATATCAGTGTATTACTCTACGTGGCGAAGTGAAAAGGACTCTATCCACGACAAATAATGAACTAAATTCTTCTGACTTTACTATCTAGTTGCTAATTAAGCACTTAACTACAAGAGCCGTTAACTCTTTGGTGCTCTTTGGACGGCACCCAGCAAGGGGAGCGCCGACATCCGCGCCCGTGCTACCAGCAGATTTCCCGCAGTGCGTGCAGCCTGCTGGCAGTCTTAGAGGAAAAGAAGCACGCCGCAAAGCACGCCTTACACCACCAGGCACTGCTAAGAGCACCCGGAGACACTCGAGTCAAAATACATTTAGCCAGCGCTTCTTGTAATTGTAACCAGGACTGGGAACGTTCAGGGCTGTGACAGTGCAAGCAGTTGTGCTAAACAGACACTGGGGAATCTCTTTCGGAACACATCAGGGTGGTCCTGCATGGGTGTTGTCAGCAGTAGGTACTGTATTTCCTGCAGATCTGAGGCTGGACGCAAGCGACAATATAACAAATCTATTATTATCTTCAGTCATTCGTTCTGAAGCACTGACAGGCACATTAAGCACTGCCGTCTAAAATTAGTTCTGTTCATGCTGGAAGCAACCATTTATTCTATTGCACTCTTTGTACGCTTGATACCAGAAGACTTCTGGGAGAGAGAGGTTCCTCTGCAATATCCTGATTAGGTCCTGGAATGCAGTACTGCTATTAGAATTATTGTCCCGAAGCCCCGTGAATGGTACATCATGAAGATCTCCTTTAACTTGCAGAAAATACCATTCAGCTCTCAAGTAACTTAACAAAAAACACAATAAGATTTTAAACCAGGTGTTGGTTCGTGCCAAAAGCTGCCCACCACCACATGCGAATATAAAGCAATTCCTCTCCCAGATACTGTGCAATTTCACTGCCATCATCCCCAAAGAACAAGCACAAAAGCTGCCAAGTCTCTCCTGGTCACAGAAGTCCAGAAGGCTGACGTGACATATAGCTGCTACAGACTCCGCCTGATCTAAATCAACATCGCCTCATCATTTTAGATGCTCCATTTGATATGACTGTTATTACTCCTGTGGTTGGATTGATCAACCACTGGATGTCA